AAGCAGGTAAGTGAACTGTAGCAAGAAGACAACCAACAAGTGATCCTTTAAGATATGACATAAAACCTACTAAACAACCAATATTTCTTGAGTGCTACCCATATGCCAGGTGCCCTGCCAGGTGCAGAGGGTGCCATGGTGAAAACGACCTTCCAGTGTGGCCACTGATAGGAAACCATACCAATGGGCACCAGCATCCGCTGGGAGCCAGCTAAGCCCTGCTCAGAGACTGTCCCAGCTTAGCCACACAGATGACACCCACGCTCCCATAGGTGATGCTACTGCCCAAGGCCACATGCTGGCAAGAATAGAGCCACTGAAATAGATGCCCTTGCCATCCCCCAGATCCCCACCCGGAGGCCCATGAAGGACACCACAAGGGGCACAGTCACACTGGCTAATCCAGAGGCCACAGCATTCAGTGTACCCCAGAACGGATCTCCTGGGCACCCGCTATATTGCCCCCTTCCCTTCCTCCCTCTGCTCATTGTCCAACTGTCCCCTGCATAGCCAGTGTCCCAGGCTTCCCTTCTGGGCCCTTCACAGATCACGAGCAGCACCCAGCAAACCCTGCGATGAAGGGCCGAGGCTCCCCACCCTGACCCCCAGTGAGGTTTTTGTTTGTGAGCTTGTCAGCACCACAGCTCCCTACCTTTTTTTTTTTTTTTTTGAGATAAGAGTTTCGCGCTGTTTCCCAGGCTCGTGTGAGGTGGCGTGATCTCGACTCACTGCAAGCTCCGCCTCCCGGGTTCACTCCATTTTCCCGCCTCAGCCTCCCGAGTAGCTGGGACTATAGGCGCCGGTCACCATGCCTGGCCTTTTTTTTTTTTTTTTTTTGTATTTTTAGTAGAGACGGGGTTTCACCGTGTTAGCCAGGATGGTCTTGATCTCCTGACCTCGTGATCCACCCGCCTCAGCCTCCCAAAGTGCTGGGATTACAGGCGTGAGCCACCGCGCCCGGCCCCACAGCCCCCTACTCCTAATGGTGCACCCGGTGTTTGTGGACTACAGAAAAAGCCAAGGGGAGGAGATGGGGAAAAGCAAACTCCTACATTTTAGAAGAAAATGTGGCAGAATATCTTAATGAGTCAGGGTAAAGAAAGAAAATTCTCTTACACGGCACTCAAAAAAAAAAAAAAAAAAAAGCCCAGAGGAAAAAAATTGATGAAATTGACTACATTATTCAAATGAAAAACTGCTAGGGCCGGGCGTGGTGGCTCACGCCTGTAATCCCAGCACTTTGGGAGGCCGAGACAGGCGGATCATGAGGTCAGGAGTTCAAGACCAGCCTGGCCAACATACAGAAACCCCATCTCTACCAAAAATACAAAAACTAGTTGGGCATGGTGGCGCATACCTGTACTCCCAGCTACTCGGGAGACTGAGGCAGGAGAATCACTTGAACCTGGGAGGTGGAGGTTGCAGTGAGCTGAGACACACCACTGCCTTCCAACCTGGGAGACAGAGCGAGACCCTGTCTCAGAAAAAGAAAGAAAAGAAAAAGAAAAGAAAGAAAAGAAAAGAAAGAAGAACTGCTGCAGCAGTGAATCAACAAAGGCACAGTGAGAAGCCAAGAAAACAGTCTGGGAAATGATATTTGCCATGTACGTAACTGACAAAGGCTTGGAATCCAGGATAAATTACACACTCCTTCAAATCAATAAGAAATGGAAAAACAACTCGGCGACAGAATGAACAGACTCTCTCCAGAGGCACTGCACAGGAGAGGAATCTGAGGAGGTGTCAGGCAGAGGGAAGATGTTTCCTCTCACCAGGACAGGGACAGTAAAGCCACATCACAGTGAAACACCATAGCACATCTATCAGGCTGGGATATGCTCCGAGCTCTCTGGAGGCCAGAGGCTGGGCTGGAAGCAGTTGCGATATCCAGCAAAGCTGAAGGCAAACACACATTCTCCCTGGTTCAGTGATGCCCTCCCTGGCAGAGGCCCTAGGGGACTCTCTTTCCAGGGTACCAGGAAGCCCTGGGCAGGAACAGCCATGGCACAGTCTTTCTGCAGTACAGGAGTACAATCAACAAGCCTGCCAGCCTGGGATGGGCGAGTGTATCGTGATACATTCAAACACCGGAACAGTGTGCAGTGATGGAAATGAATGAAATACAGCCAGGGGCGCGACATGGATTCATCTCAAAATTTCTATAAATCTCTAATGTTGCTTAGGTTTTTTAAGGTTTTGGAAGTAGCAGAGGGATACATGCAGCGAGATCCACTTACATAGTTTTAAAACATGCAAAGCAAGATTATATATAGTCCGTAAGTAATTATATCTGTGGTAAAATATAAAGATATGCATTCTGAGGACGTAGTCACCAAATTATTGGTGGTTCAAGGAAAGGCAGGAGGAAGAGTGCTCTGGGTGGGGGGAGGTTCACGGTGTGCTTGGACTGTACCTATGATTTCTTCAAATAAAAATTTCGAGCAAGTATAAAATATGGATGTAGAATGTGAAGATTTGGCAATGCTGGCTGATGGTATCCAATGTTCCTTATCACCATCTCTGTACTTCTGGGAATGCCTTAAATAGTTCACAATCATCGTAAGAGGACTGGTTGAGAGCAGCAAGTCCCCTCTCTCCACACTCCAAGAATGAGCGGACAAGACCCTTGCTTATTCCTCAGGTTCCTGCATGGTGAGCACAGGGCATTAATTTAGCTCAACCCAGCACTGGTCCCCTGTGGATCACCCTAATAAACCAGGGGCTCTCAACCCTGGGGCACGTATGACTATCATTCAAGGTGCGTTTTCAGAAACGTATGTGCAGGGCCCCGCCCCCAGAGACTGATCCTGGTGGTCTGGGAGAGGACCAGGGGCATGGTGGTATTTTTAAAAAACCATAGGCCTAGCGTGCTCAACTCCCAGCCCAGATCAGCTGGAAGAAGATGTGCTTCAGGGGCCAAGCAACAATCCTGGACCCTCATGGGCTCTGCTCTGTTGGGCCTGCCTATCTGCGCCTGATCCCATAGTCATTTCTCTCTGAGCCTTAACCCAGGGAATGCTCACGCCTGGTTTTGAACGTTTACACCCCATCCTTTGGCAGGACACTAAGCTATACACCAGGCCAGCGTTTCCACTTCATCCTCACCTCTGGCCTCTGAGGCAGGTACTTTAGACATGGGAAATAACCTGTCCGGGGCACACGGGGAGTGAGGGGAAGGGCAGAGGGAGCCCAGGTTCATCTGACTCCTGGGCTATGACATCTGTTTATCTACCTTGAGCTAAGGTATCCCCTTCACGGCCTCCTATCATGGCCCTTGAAATGATTCCCTCGTCTAAAAATACTCATTGCATCATGCGACTGGGCAGATATCAATCTGCCATAAATCTTAACTCTCTAGCTGTGGTTACTGGGTAGCTGTTACTCTGGATGCCCCATCTAATCAGCGGGGCTGGTGGGCCAGGAACTGTATGCAACATTGCCTCTGGGGCAGGCCTTTTTTATCCCTTAAATGTGTGCTATGGTATTTCACAAAAGAAAACATTTACAGGACATCCCCTTTTAATCATCAGGGAAACATAAATTAAAACCAAAATGAGATACTACTACACACCCACCAAAATAGCTAAAATAAAAAGACAGAAAAAAATCTATGATTGATGAGGATGTAAAGCACCTGGAACTCTCATATACTGCTAATGGAAGTATAAATTGGTACAAATATTTTATTTACATTTTTTTAGAGACAGGATCCTGCTACGTTGCTCAGGCTGGAATGCAGTGGTTATTCATAGTTGCAGTCCCATTACTGATCGGCACAGGAGTTTTGACCTGCTCTGTTTCTGGTCTGGGCTGGTTCACTCCTCCTTAGGCAACTGGTGGTCCCCCCATCTCAGGAGGTCACCATATTGATGCCAAACAGTGCAGACACCTGATGGGCATAGGGCACTACAGCCTAGAACTCCTAGGCTCAAGCAATACACCTGCTTCAGCCTCTTGGGTAGCTGGGACATGGCATGTGCCAGATGCAAATATTTTAGAAAACCATTGGGTACTACCTTCTAAAAGCTGAACACAAACTTACCCAGGCCAGCCATTCTCTTCTTAGGTATGTTTTGAAATAAATGCATATACATGTCCATCAAAAGACATTTATAGCCACTCTATTCTTGGTAGCCATAAGCTAGAAACAATTCAGATGTCCATCAGCAATGGAATGGGTAAGTAAACTGTTGTATACTCACATAGTGTAAATACTATACTCCAGCATTAACCAGCAAAAATCAGTAATACATACCACATGTAAATCTCAGAAATAAAACATTAAGTAAAAGTAGCTACAAGCAAGATATTACAAGCTGTATGTTTCCATTTATATGAAGTTTTAAAAGGGGCATCATCTGTAGTCTTATAAATTGACGACCCTGTTTATCATTGGTAAGAGTAATACCCAGTATGAGCATGTGGGAAGTTTCTGGAGAGGTGGTAAATATTCTACATGTCTTGATTGGGGTGGCAGTTACACGACACGTTCACTCAGAACAATTTAACCAAATGTTTGTTTAGTATATGTGCTTGTCTTTTCTTTCTTTCTTTTTCTTTCTTTTTTTTTTTTTTTTGTCTTGAGACAGAGTCTTGCACTGTCCCCTGGGCTAGAGTGCAATGGCATGATCTTGGCTCACTGCAACCTCTGCCTCCCAGGTTCAAGCGATTCTTCTGCCTCAGCCTCTTGAGTAGCTGGGACTACAGGTGCACACCACCACACCTGGCTAATTTTTGTATTTTTAGTAGAGACAAGGTTTCACCATATTGGCCAGGCTGGTGTCGAACTCCTGACCTCATGATCTGCCTGCCTCGGCCTCCCAAAGTGCTGGGATTACAGGCGTGAGCCATCACACCCAGCGGATATGTACTTTTCTAATATGTATGTTGTAATTTAATAAAAAGTTGATGATCTACACCCTGGTACATATGTGACCTGGAGAGGAGACTGATGGACAACTTGAGTGCCCAGCAGATCTGTGTGCAGGACGCGAGCCTACCTCTAGGCACCTGGACCAGCTGCATGTATGCCTTGTACAGGTTCCCCCGGCAGACTGGGCTGAGGTCATTCAGCAGGAAGGACAGGGCAAGGACGATGTCGTGCTCTAGAAAGGCGTATCTAGGGAAGGGAGGGTGGATAGTGACATAAGTGAGACCATGCCCTGAGAGGCTCAAATAAGAAGGATCAGGGTCCCTGCTGGAATCTGATCCATGCTATCTGGGGTAGACCACATTCCTCTGGCTTTCTGGGAGCAGAGAAAGGCTACAGGTGCATGACCCATCTCACCTGAACCTCCACGGGAGCGAGCTCAGCAGGCCCAGCCCACCTTGGCCCCTTGTTCTTCTGGTCTCCCTTGCCACCACATCTATGTACACCAGTTATGCTTGTCATTATCATTATACAAGTTCAGTAAATATTAGGCAAGTCAATTAGTTGCGAAGAGAGGTTTCTTTTTCAAATTTTCTTATGAGAAAAAGTTGAATGCTTTGAAAGGACTCAAAATTGAGCCTCAAAAAAAAAAAAAAAAAAAAAAAATGAGATGATTGGCCAGGCACAGTGGCTCACACTTGTAATCCCAGCACCTTGGGAGGCCGAGGTAGATAGATCACTTGAGGTCAGGAGTTCGAGACCAGCCTGGCCAACATGGCAAAACCCCATCTCTACCAAAAATACAAAAAATCAGCCAGACATGGTGGCACATGCCTGTAATCCCAGCTACTCAGAAGGCTGAGGCACAAGAATCACTTGAGCCCAGGAAGTAGAGGTTGCAGTGAGCTGCGATTGCACCACTGCACTCCAGCCTGGGTGACAGAATGAGACTGTCTCAAGAAAGACAAAAAAAAAAGAGATGATTGTAAAAGATTCTAGATGGCTCACACCTAATCCCAGTGCTTTGGGAGACTAAGGTAGGAGAATCACTTGGACTAGGAGTTCAAGACCAGCCTGGGCAACATGGTGAGACCTCGTCCCTACCTAAAATGTTAAAAGTTCAGCTAGACTTGGTGGTGTGTGCCTGTGTTCCCAGCTACTCAGCAGGCTAAGGTTAGGAGAATCATTTGAGCCTAGGAGTTTGAGGCTGCAGTGAACTAGGATCGTGCCACTAAAATCCAGCATGGATGACAGAGCTAGATCTTATCTCTTAAAAAATAAAAAGATTCTAGAAGGGTTTTGCATGCAGACTATTTCATTAATGTCTTTGAGTTCTTGCTCTACTTTAAAGAAACCAAAGCTGCAAATCAGATGATGTTATGAGTATGGTTTAAGCAAAAAATAAATAAATAAATAAAATAAAATAAAATATATATATGAGAGGAAACACCAATCAGTGATCTCATATTCAACAAAAAGCCTGGGTCCCACATGAGGATTGGTGAATGCCCTATCATACGTGTTTTGGGTTAAAATGAACGATTTAAAGGAAACCATTTCTTCGGTTCCTTGCCTTGTAATAATTTCTTTTGATTAACCAACTGACTGTTGAGCCTGAATGCATCTGAAAGAGGCCTTCTGAGGTGACATCTGTCAGGGCTGGGTCCAGGAATGAATGAGAATGCATGTGCAAACCCCTCAGCCAAGTGTCCATAGGAAGTGCCCAACCAGCTGTGCCACTGCAGCACTGGTCACAGTTTCACTTATCATGTGTTTTGAATCGTTCTGGAAGAAGAAGTCACCGTGGGACACACAAGTTGCAGGGGTCTTCCCTGACCGTGGGGGCCTCCTTGGTCAGTGCCTAGTCACCCACTCCATGTCTCTCGCGCTTTGAAAGTCAGTTGTGTGGCAGAGCGCGGTGGCTCACGCCTGTAATCCCAGCACTTTGGGAGGCCGAGGCAGGCGGATCACGAGGTCAGGAGATCGAGACCATCGTGGCTAACACGGTGAAATTCCGTCTCTACTAAAAAACACAAAAAATTAGTTGGGGGCGTGGTGGCGGGCGCCTGTAGTCCCAGCTACTCGGGAGGCTGAGGCAGGAGAATGGCGTGAACCCGGAAGGCGGAACTTTCAGTGAGCCGAGATGGCGGCACTGCACTCCAGCCTGGGCTACAGAGCGAGACTCCGTCTTAAAAAAAAAAAGAAAAAAAAAAAAGATCACCACTGACCTCAAGGGAAATTCAGAAGTTGGCCACATTTCTGAGAACGCTGAAGGAGTGCATGGGCCAGGCCCTTATCAGGTCCTTGGTCAGGGATGGTCACTTCACCACAGGTCTTCCTGCCTTGCTAATGTGGGCACAGCCAGGACCCCTGGCTTAGGCACTCCAGGTTCTGCTAAACAAATCCTTACTACCGTTTGTTATAAGTAGGTTGATGTAAAAGTAATCTTAGTTTTTGACATTACTTTTAATTGCAAAACCGCAATTACTTTTGCACTAACCTAATAATTGCTCAGGCTCCAAGGACCTGTCCTCTCAGCATCTGTTCCCCCCTCACTGGGGGTTACTATCTAATGTCCATATCAGGTCCAGAAAAGTGGGAGGGAAAACAGCAGGAAAGGTGACTTGATCCTGTGTGCCCCTAACCTTTTAAAGTACCTTGCCTGGGTCATCTAAGATCTGCAGAGTGAGGCTGGGATCAGGAGTGTTGCCCAGATCACAGAGCAGGAAAGAGGGGGCCCCCCAAAAGGCTGGGGCTTGTGCCCTGACTTCGCCAGTCTGTCTGCAGTGCCAGCCTGCCCTTTTTGGTACAAAGCATGTGAATTAAGGTGCTAGCCATGGCACCACCTCCACCTACACATACATACGGTTCACACAAGGCCAGGGCTACACACAGGATCAGCCACCAAGGCAATGAGAGCTTGGGGACTGGCAGGGCTGAGTGACTTTGGGTTTTGTGAGATGCCCTGGCACTCCTGAAACGATTTGAAGCCTCTCTGAATGGCTACCTGTTTATACCAAACAACCCCCAAGGCAGTCAGCACCTTGCCTTTCTTGTCTTTTCTTCCTTCTGGGCCTGTGCACACTGGGCAGTGGCCCCTTTATCCAAAAGACCTGGGCCAGGGCTTGGGGATGTCTGTGATGTGCGGTTCTGTATTTTTGGGGGGTGGGGACAGGGCTGGTGGGGAGAAGTTCCAGTGAAAACCAGAAAACCTCCTAAACAAATTCTAAAAGAACTGTTAACACTGGGGTTTTTTTCTAATACAAAGTAAAACTATTGATCGCTGGTGAAGAGGGTGAGCTGAGCTGATGTGGGAAAGCCTCTCCAACCATGTCCACCCTGTTGCCCCAACACCTAACTAAAATACTCTATGAAATCTTTTTTAAGTGTAAAATGTGAAGCTGTGCTGGTCAGGCGCGGTGGCTCACGCCTGTAATCCCAGCACTTTGGGAGGCTGAGGCGGGCGGATCATGAGGTCAGGAGACCGAGACCATCCTGGCTAACACAGTGAAACCCCGTCTCTACTAAAAATACAAAAAATTAGCCGGGCATGGTGGCGGGCGCCTGTAGTCCCAGCTACTCGGGAGGCTGAGGCAGGAGAATGGCATGAACCTGGGAGGCGGAGCTTGCAGTGAGCCAAGATCACGTCGCTGCACTCCAGCCTGGGTGACAGAGCAAGACCCCACCTCAAAAAAAAAAAAAAGAAAAACTGAAGCTGTGCTTACACAGGAAAAGGACACTTGCAGGTGCCAGAAACCAAGAACCCAGCCGTCATGAACAGGAAGTGAGGCCACCAGCCCAGACCAGATATGCACTTTGACGCTGTTATTTTACCACCTTCACAGGGACAGGAGCCAAAGCCACAGGCCCTGTGGGGATCTGGGTTGGGGAACTGGGCTCTCTGTAAAAAGCTAAGAAATGGCAAAATTGTTGCAGAGGTAACATCTGAACTTTCTTCCCACCTTGAAAGTGGGAAACTCAGCTGGGTCCGGTGGCTCACGCCTGTAATCCCAGCATTTTGGGAGGCCGAGGCAGGCAGATCACTTGAGGCCAGGAGTTCGAAACCAGGCTGTCCAACATGGTGAAACCTGTCTCTGCTAAAAATACAAAAATTAGCTGAGCGTGATGACACATGCCTGTAGTCCCAGCTACTCGGGAGGCTGAGGCACAAGAATTGCTTGAACCTGGAGAGGCAGAGGCTGCAGTGAGCTGAGATGGTGCCACTGTACTCCAGCCTGGGCGACAGAGTGAAAGACTGTCTCAAAAAAGAAAGAAAAGAAAAAGAGAGAGAGAGAGAGAGAGAGAGAGAGAATGCTCAGAGCTCGGAACTAACATAAAATAAATAAAAATTAGTCTGGAACAGAGGGTCCCATAAGATCCACACAGAGGCAACCCAAACCACCCCACAGAGTCCTGCTCTGGCTAAATAGAAGCCCCTCCAAAAACTGGTGCTGCAGATAAAACTCCAGAGCACTCTATGCAGCTCAAGGGCATCATCCACCCAGGGGAGAAGTGCAGCTGGCAAGCGTCACACTGGTTTCCAGAACAGCATCCCACCTGCCCACGCTATGGCTCGCTGTGATGTAGAGCACCTCCGTGGTCTTTATCCGCACCATGCTGTTGCTATCCTTCAGCAAAACTTTCAGGTTCTCCATACAGCCTACAAAAAACAAACAAACCAACCAACCCTTGAATGTTTGCCAGTCTCAGAAACCAACTAACCCAGAAGTCAGTAAGTGGGCCAGTTGGGGCAGGAATGTACCAGAGGTTCTGCTGCTTTGGGGCACTGGGGAATCATGTTGGTTATGCAGCATTTCAGAGTCACTGAAGAGGCTCATGTCTCATCCAACCCTCCTTGTGATTCTCCCTGCACACTTCCTACCAGTGCCTTCTCACAAAGTCTGCCATGAGATTAAGAAAATGGGCTTTGTCATTTCTTTGACCCCAGGAGAGATATGGGGTCAAATTACAACCCTGTGTCAAACTAGTCACATGACCTTGAGTGGGTTACACCTAGGGATGCCAGATTTAGCCAATAAGAATCCAGCTTTGTCTGGGCACGGTGGCTCATGCCTGTAATCCCAGCACTTTGGGAGGCTGAGGCAAGCAGATCACCTGAGGTCAGGAGCTCAAGTCCAGCCTGGCCAACATGGTGAAACCCCATCTCTACAAAAATACAAAAATTAGCCAGGCATGATGGCAGGTGCCTGTAGTCCCAGCTACTCAGGAGGCTGAGGCAGGAGAATCACTTGAACCCTAGAGGCGGAGCTTTCAGTGAGCCATGATAGTGCCATTGCACTCCAGCCTGGGCAACAGAGCGAGATTCCATCTCAAAAAATAAATAAATAAATAAATAAATAAATAAATACAAATTCAGCTTTATTTATTTATTGGGCAAACCTAGACTGACAATCCTTCTCTGAACCATGCTTTTCTTATCTCTGGGTTGAGAATGGACTCTCCCTTGTAGGTGGCCTTTCTGAGGATTAAGATAATCCAGGCTGCGTGTGGTGGCTCACATCTATAATCCCAAAACTTTGGAGGCTGACCTGGGAGAATCAATTGAGGCCAAGAGTTCAAGAACAGCCTGGGCAACATAGCAAGATCTTCTTTATTAAAAAAAAATTTAAAAATTAGTCAGGCATGGTGGTCCATGCTTGTAGTCCTAGTTACTCAGGAAGCTGAAGCAGGAGGATCTCTTGAGCCCAAGATTTCAAGGTTACAGTGAGCTATGATTCTGCCACTGCACTCCAGCCTGGGAGATGGCAAGACTCTGCCTCAATAAACAAATATTTCTTAAAAAGAACCTGGGCACTGTGCCTAGAGCGGAACTGGCCTGGAGTCAGCTTCAAACAACAGCAACCCTTATTACTGAAGTTCTACCCAGTGTCCAAAGCCATGCTAGGACCCCAGTCATGGCCACCTGTGCTGTGTCACGCTCACCTATGCTCATGGCCTTGTAGATACACTCGGGGTCATGCATGAGGTCACACAGGGCCATGAGGGCTTTCTGCCTCGTCTGGAGGTCCTCTGACTGCAGCTCCTCCTTCAGCTTGGGCAGGGCCCGATGGCCATAGGCAGTGGTAATCTGGGTAGTGTTGATGTTAACGGGAAACTCCATGGAGTTCTGGAAATGGGCCACCTATCCCCAATGACAGAGGCCTTTCCAAATGAAGTTCTGCAGAAACCACTCACTAAAAGAAACCAAAAAGCTGTCATTATTTCTACCATGATTTAAAAGCTACTTCTCATTTGATCCTCCAAACTGTGAGGGCAGGCAAATGGGTATTTTTACTTTCATTTTACAGATGAGCAAACTGAGGCTGACAGCAATGAAGAGATTTGCTCAAAGTCCCAGTGAAGGTAAGTAGCAGCCCAGACTGCAAACTCCAGAGCCCCTCCCCCTACACACACAATAGTGCTTCACAGAAGAAACCACTGATACTTTCATCTGGATCTTCAGTCAAAGGCATTAAAGGACAAAACAAACCAAACAAGCAAACTCCGAGATGGTCACTCTGTTTAGTGCTTATCTTGTGCCAGCAATAAGTAGTATCCAACTCAACTACCCCATAAGGAGGGGGCTTGTTTTATCCATATTTTACAAATGAGGAAACTGAGGTTCTGGCCAAGGAGCTTACTGTAGGCTGTGAAACTGGTAAGACTAGGAGCAAATATTGAAATCTGGGTCTAGCTCATTCACTGCCAGGAACCCATATTCAGATGCTTCTGACACATCCATGAAAAGGAATTAATGTTAAAAGGTGATTTATGGGCCGGGCGCGATGGCTGAAGCCTGTAATCCCAGCACTTTGGGAGGCTGAGGCGAGCGGATCACGAGGTCAGGAGATCGAGACCATCCTGGTAAACATGGTGATACCCCGTCTCTACTAAAAATACAAAAAAACTAGCCGGGCGTGGCGGTGGGCGCCTGTAGTCCCAGGTGCTCAACAGCCCTGCCAGCCAGGCTTCAGGTGTATTCGTTAACATGACAATTCTGGGAGGCAGGGAAGGAGGTACTGTTATCATCTCCCCCTTAAGCACGCAGAAAGACACAGATAGAGGAAGAAACTTGCCAAGGTCACCTATGGCCTGAATCTGGAGCCAGTTCCTTAACTACTAACCTACCACTGCCCATAGTTGCTGAAAGTGTGTGTGTGTGTGTGGTGTGTGTCTGTAATAAAAGTAAATCAACCATTTTTTTTTTTTTTGAGACGGAGTCTTGCTTGTCTGCCAGGCTGGAGTGCAGTGGTGCGATCTTGGCTCACTGGAACCTCCCCCTCCCGGGTCAAGTGATTCTCCTGCGTCAGCCTCTTGGAGTAACGCTGGGGACTAACAGGCACATGCCAGCCACGCCCAGCTAATTTTTGTGTTTTTAGTAGAGACAGGTTTCACCATGTTGACCAGGATGGTCTCGATCTCTTGACCTTGTGATCCGCCCACCTCGGGCCTCCTAAAGTGGTGGGATTACAGGCGTGAGCCCCCGCGCCTGGCCATAAATCACCTTTTTTTTTAAATTTTGTTTTTATTTTTATTTATTTAATTTATTTTTGGAGACAGAGTCTCGCTCTGTCGCCCCAGGCTGGAGTGCAGTGCACGATCTTGGCTCACTGCAACCTCCGCCTCCCGGGCTCACGCCATTCTCCTGCCTCCAGCCTCCA